TTAAATGAAGCAAGAATCAAACCAGACCGCAGAATGATTTTCATGATGAGATTTCATACATTAATGAATAAATTGATTATTCTTGCGCAATAATTTCGTAATCAAGGTGTATTATTATCAGCTTATTTCAATGATTCAATCTACATTATAACATTTACCTGATTTCGCTTCCTGGTTGATTTGTTTTCAGGAAATGATTTCTCCTATTAAATGTTATCCCTTATACAGTAATATATTGGCTATTTCTCATTGTGACAATAGTGATACTTGCAGAAGTTAAATTCAATATTTGTGAGAATCAAAACTATTCAGATAAAATTCAAAAGTTTCGAAAGTATTTACACAATCTATTTACTCAGCGATTACCATTATTATTATGATGAAATATCAATCATTATTATAAAGTAAGATAAGTTTATGATATTTTTATTGGTCAATATACTTTTTTTATTTCGATAATATTATTTGAACGAGGGTATGGAAGAAATAACCACAAGAATGAAAAAAAGAAGGAAACATTTTTCATCATACGTTTTCTTCAGATTCAATATTATCATGATTCCTTTTGAATTTACACTGAATTATCTATGAGAATGAAAATACTAAGTTATGATAAAAGTCCAGAGAATAAAGAGCAAAAATTGTGAACAAGAAATAAGAAAAAAAATCAGACATCTTGGGTGGAGTTTTCTCAAGTGAATATATCAGGATATGATATATATCTTCAGATCAAAACAGTTATCAGAATATCGTTGAACTTTATCCATTGAATAGCACATATTTACTCAATTAAACGAATACATCATGAAGATTGTTCATCTTCCGATCCTCTCTCTCTCTCTCTCTCTCTCTCTCTCTCTCTCTCTCTCTCTCTCTCTCTCTCTCTCTCTCTCTCTCTCTCTCTCTCTCTCTCTCTCTCTTCGAATACGAATTGAACTTCATTGAAGAACCCAAAAAACATGTGCTAATGTAATTTCAAGTTTGTCGAAAATAAATAAGAAGAAACCATGATGATGACATGGAGAAGTGATTATTCTAATATCGCGTTAGTTCATGGAACAGTAAAAGGATAATATGAGAATTAGAAAATTGTCAAAATTTCTCTAGACTATCAATTCATGAAGCAAAAAAGGATTGAAAAAAAAGTTCCAAGGAGAATGTTTCATTTTCTTAATCATAAAAGTCAACTCAATGTAAATATTTAATATCTTTATGTTATCATGATGATTATTAATCATGAGGATAATGAAAAATAATATTTATAATTGATAACATGAAAGCCAGTTATGAGCAATGTGTTGCAAATGGGCTGATAATTTTAGTAATTTTTTGAATGGAATATCAAAAGTTTCTGTTATTATACTGAGAATCTATTATTCTGATAATAGCACGGGATTCATTAACAGAACTTTTTATGAACAAGATGATATTACTCTCAAATAAGATGGCTAAATCATGGAGATGATGATGGCGAGGGGAAAACTTTTACTCGATAACTGAATAGAGACCCAGAGACAGGAGATCAACATGTCATTTCATGATGTTCAGTGACACTTACAGTTGAAACAATTCTTATGAAATTTTTTGTTTTCCTTGGGAATTTATTCCCACACAAAGGCTCAGTTAACAAGATAAAGTTCAATAGTAAACAACTAAGATACAGAGTAAACCACAAAAACTAGCAAAAAGAAAACCTCAATGAACTGTCATCTCTTTACTCATCTCCTCAGTATCATTCGTTAATCATCATTACATTGATGCTGGTCTACGAATTCATATTCTAGTAAGTTTCATGTTATATTGTTTCGAATGAATAATTTAAAGTTCAAAAAGGAACAAAGAAAAAGATAGAGAGTAAATATTTCCATCATGATTGATGTGCATGAGAAGATGAAAAATGAATAGAAGAAAATTTTGTTACAAATTTAATAAAAGAATTTAATTTCCATCCTTCTAGTGATTTTAGAACAATTGAGCGCGAAAAGAGGGTGGATTAAATTCGTCAACTAATTGTTCGTGATCAGGTGAAAGTACTAATTGAATTTAACTTATCACTAATGTCAAAACGTCGGATCAAAGGATTGACATAAGAAGATATAACAATGATGATGATGAGCTTCAATTTTTCCCTCTCTCACATCATGATCGTTTTCATGATGCTGATAATGATGTGAATCTTATCTTGTCACATTGATGATAAACTGAATATCATGTAACTGAGCTTGTATATCTACAACCCTTGTCTCTATTGTATTATCACCATCACCACCCATTGTCTTGGTTTTCATGATACTTTTGTTTTTCACTCCCTTTTCAAATATAAATTATGGGAGTAATATCATCATGATAATGATGATTATCATCTGATTGACAGGAGCTCAATTATCATCCTCAAAGTGTCTGTATAATGAATGTATGTGTGTCTCTTTCATCATGAGACTGTCAATCACTAGAATCATAAGATTTTCAACATTTTTCTTTTGTTTTCTGTTTTTCTACTGAATCATTTTCTTACTGAACTTTTCAAACAACAACAAAAATAACATTCCCATCTTTATCTTCATCATCATCTAATAGATCAGATAATCTTTCACGGTGTTTTCTTGTTTTTCCTCCATTGTTCATTTAACTGGGTATTCAGTTCAATCTTATCCCCATGTTTATATGTTTTTTCATGAGAGTTCAAAAAAATGGTTTTTTCCCAAAACCTCAAACTTAATCTTGTGTATGAAAATAAAGATAAACAACATGAACAAAACACTTCATCCTTTCAACACTTGAAGAATCAGTTTATAAACTCATCATGAGAAACTAACTTCAAGTTGATAAAATTATAACAGTCATTATCGTTAATATTACAGGGGGTAGATAATAATGAGAACGTGATAATAGAATTGAATTTAATGGCATGTAAGTGAACAAAAAAAAACAAGTTGATAAAATGTATCATTTTATTTTCTGTCAACGAAATATTAATAATTCAATCTTGAAATTAAGATAATTCAGAATAATGAAGAAACATTATATATTGTATTTCTAACTTTAAGAATTCATTTTCGATAGTGTATTTTGTTGGTATTGGCTAGTGAATTTCTTGTCAATATACTTTGTGCATAAATTTTAATCATGAAAACCGGAACTTTTAGATTATCATGAAAAGAAAAGAGTGACGATATTTTATTCAAAGAATTCACTGAAATTTTGGATAAAAAATCTGACAGAATTTTTTTAGAGAAAATTGTGATTTTGTCAAAATCTTCGACTCATGGAAAAACTCAGCGTAAAGAATGGTGAAATAATCTCATGGTAATATTGCTTTTTTCTCTCAGAAAAATATGGAAAAGTGCAAAAATTCTGAAGATTATCAAAGAGAAAAGAAGACTTTGTACCCACAAATATTTATCAATTGAATTCTGATGATCATCAGAATCAGAGGTTGAGAGGATTCATGGGGAGTAGATGAAGAAGAAAAATAAAAAGAGAAAGTGTAAAAATAACTTCAACTGTTGTTGAAAGTTGACGACTTGCTGATTACCTCGAGGGTGAATCAGGTTACGATAATACGATTCATTTTTTTTTTCCTCATGACATCAATTCTGATGTGAAAAAAGCAGAGAGAAGTTCAGTGTTAGACACTGATTCATAATGCTTTATTTATCATGAGCATGAATTAAAAACACATGCAAACTCATGATAATCTTAAATTGTAAAATAGCTCGTCATGAGATATCATCATGGCTCATGAAGATTATTATCATTTCTACTGATTCGAATATTTCAAAATCAAAACTATTCTTACTCAATATCTCACGAGACTGTTATCTGTATTCAGGTTTTCATTGTCAATCATCATCATGGTGTAAATGTATCATGAATTGAATTTTATTTGGTAATATTTTTGAAATTCGAATCAAAAACTGAACGGCAATGATAATGAGCTTTGGCTTACTGAGAAAAGAAAAGTTTTACAAGAGAGTGATGTTATGAATGTTTCCAAAGTTCACAAAATAACATCAATCGAATTAAAAATCTTATTATTCTGAACATTCAAATCGTAATGATAACTGTTAAGCATAAATGGTAAAGTTCAAGTTCAAATTTTCTCTTTTCAATTTCATAAGTAACAATGATAATCAGAAATCATGATATGTTTCATTTGATCTATATTCAGATCAAAAGGCTTGAATGTGCTGGAAAATTAATCCCAATCAACCGGATAATCAGGTTGATTATGTATTATCAACATATTAGTGATGAAAATTTTTATTCAAAAAGATAATAATAAGATTGAATTATTTGGTCTTATATTGATCATCAACATGATCTTCCTGGATATTAATTTGAGTTTTTTCTGAAAGAAAAAAGGAAAAAATTCACTAATATCATCCGTGAGAATGATGATTCAACTTAAATCTAGAATTCTACTAAGAATCACAAGAATTATCATCATGATCATCAATGAACTTTTAGCTTTTGTGTATTTAAGTCACGTTAATATCTTGTTTATATCATGACCTTCATTGGTTTTAGTTTGAGTATTCATTTTGTATACAAGTTGAAAATTCAACTCATTGGACCAGAAATTAATGAAACCGATAATAGTTTTGGACCAAGCAAAGGAAACACAACAATCAAAACTCATTGATTAACATGAAAAATTATCGTCACAATTGATTAGTAGCTAATTAAAGGTTTGAATCTTTCCAAAGGATTGATGTTATATAAACTGAATTCAAATGATCAGTAGGTTAGTTAGCAAACGACTGTAGCACATCCAAGTGTCCGAAACTTTTCTGGGTCAAATTTTTCCGACTTTTTTTCTGTATGGGAATGAATGATTTTGCGGAAGAGTTAAAGTTCTAACCATAATTAGACGCAATCTTGTAACAGTTCAACTGTCAACTCAACTAAGAATAAAATTGTATGAATTTTAAGTCATCCTGATATCAAATTCTAAGAGAAAAATCAAACAAAAGATGGTGAAAAGGTTGAACTCTTACTTTGAGAATTGGAAATTAATAAAGTTGAGTTGATCCGAATTCAAGTTTCAGTTATCCTTATTTGGGTTCTTTTCGGGATTTATTCAATTCCATTGAATTTCCTCTGTAAAGAGATAATAGTATATTAGAATTTGTAATACAAGAAATTCTTATCATCTGAGTTACACCAATTAGTACAATCACAATCCTAAAATATCCATGAAGACATTGAATCTTTATTGTCTACACAAAAGTTCTCATGAATTTTGTTACTCAAAATATCCAACTCCCTGTAAAGTATATAATAAGATAATAGAAATAAAATATTATCATGGAAAAGGAAACATTAATTTTTTCTTTACTTTTCCTTTATCAAATCACCTTCAACCTTCAAGATCAAATCACTTTCGTTTTGTCACATTTATGATACTATTTTGTAATAACTTGTATCAAACCTCATTTCCTGAGCTTGACCTCAAATTATTATCCCTGATTACTACGCTTATCATGATTACTTCATCAAGTGGGTTTAAATGTTACCATCATTATAATGAATATTTATCTCATTAAATTACTATAATTATTGTAAATAACTTACTATCAGCTCAAAATGATGTACTTCCAATTCGGATTATGAATACCATGTAAAACTGAATACGATGCCATTAGCTAAGAATTGGAAACTAATGCCTTAACTATGTAGGTGATTGTGAAGCTGAATCTTCCTCTCACCTCTTACAAATTGTTAAAGTTAATTTTGAATCGTAAAACCATTTCTTAGTATCTTTCATCAATTATTCTTAATAAATTAGACAAGTTTATTTGGGTTATTGTTGTTGAGGTTATGGCCTCAGTTTCTTCTCTGATCGGGGCAAATAAAAAAGATTCGAGAACTTGTGGCTGTATCGTTAGTTTGATAGTTGAAAAATTTTGTTACTAATTGTTTGAACAAAATAATTTAATATCTTCATGAAATCTTATAACAATTTGAAATAAAAAAAGAAGAAGAAAGCCAAAGGTATTCAATCATCTTCTTTCTCATTTCAATGAATTACATGTAAATGCTCTCTTCTCTTTTTTATCTTCATCATCATGGTATCCTTGTCAGAGATTCCATGTTATCATCGTGATATTTATTCAAAGTTATTCCAGTTTATCGTTTTCTTACTATCTTATAATATATTGTATCTATGATATTAGACATCAGATGTTTATTTAAAAAGCTCAAACCTAAATTGCTATTTATTTAATATCCATAAACATTTCATGAGGGGTATGATCAAGGTGAAAATTTCAAGGCCTATCAATCAAATTGTCGTTTAAATTTTTCTTTCATACATATAACTATGTGTTGATTGAATGAACGCTTTTTCATTATCATGGTTATCATCAGGATGAACTCTTCTTGTTGTGTGCATTTAACTCGGTTGTTTTTAGACGTTAATTATCGTGATTGAGGTGATGATGGAATGAGTAGACACGAAATGTTCAATTTTACCAATTGTTCGGTGTCATGAATTTTTCTTTTGTCTTTTTTCCATTTATCATGTATCTTTCTAGATTTTTTTTCGCCAGTAATCAATTATCTTCCATTGATTAATCAAATCAACGGTTTCTATTGTTGTTGTTTATTCATGCTAACACAATCTCTACCCCTCTTTTGCATGATAACTTGACCATAATATTGATGGTCAGTTATTGGAAGATATAAAAAAGGGTGTGAAGTATTTGGATCGTTGACCCATGTTAATAGCTATCAGTATTTAGAATAGTTCAATAATCTAAATTTCAAGCAAATTCTTATCATGATGTCGGTCATCAATCAGTACAATTCAAACCACGGATCCCTTATAATTTTATTCAAATGTTCACTTTGTTAAGTTTTACAATTCGAACCTCGAACGAAAAATTCTATACATAGAAATGTCAACCTTTATTAGAAAGCATATTCACCAACTAATCAAGAATCGTTTCTCTGTAGCATGGAATGTAAATTCGTGATAAATTATATGGTGATTTCATGTTGGTGAATCTTAGAAAACTTTTCACTTTTGTTTTTCTTGATCAAAGTAACTCTCAACTGACAGTTTTCTAAGTAACATTCAATTTGGAAATAGTAAAATTGTCATGATTTGTTTTAGCGTTAATAATTTATGAACATTTAATTTGAACAATTAACTGATTACAGATAAAAGTTTCGAAATGTACAACTAAAGAAAATCAAAAGAAACAGTAAACTTTATCAGAACTTTTCGCCTCGTCAGTTGAAACTAAATCGTTAGTACAAAGTTGAAGACGAATCGTTACAAAAAAAAGTCATGATGATTGTAGATATTCAAATGATGAGATTGATTTTCCGATAATTAATTGTTGTTGAAAACTGGTTGACAACAATTCAATGCCATTATCAATTGTTATTGATCATGATAATGAAAGCTTACAATTGTTTCATCATTTACAATCATTTGTTTCTTGGTTATCAGTAGTTTATTAGGGTAAATTATTTGTAGGTGGGTCGTTGTTGATGATGAAAGAAAATCATTTACATGGGAGACAAACAGGGAAGAAAATTCATGAGAATGAATAACATGGAATCTAATGATGTTCACGATGAAAAAAGATGAATCATGATGAATGATTATAATTCATTGTTAATTAGCATTGATACCGAAAGACATTATATCCGAAAATACGTTTCATTATGTATAATCTTATTTTCTGTCTCCCTCTTTAATCATCTTCTTCCTTTATCATCTTTCCTCCTTCTTCCTTTTTTATCATCATCTTCATCATCTCTCTTTCTTTTTCGAAGATGATGTCTCTTTCTCATCTATTCATTGATTCATTTATCTTCCTCATCTTTTTCGTTTTATTCTTTCTATTTTCACTCAACACGATATTGCACATCATTAAGCATCTCTTATCATCCTCTACTTTTTGTCATCTTCCCTCTGAGTGAGAAACGAGGTGTCGATGATGAGAGAAAGATGACTGAAAATTGTCTATTTCCTTGACAATCATTATCGTCCCATTTTCACACCTTAGATTATTCCTTCCCTCTAGTCTGTGGTTAATCTTGATTGCATGGTGATGAAAATTATCTCTCAAATAATTTCCATTGTTACATATAATACAGGGGGAAGGTTTCTTGGAAAACCGATGGACAATAAAGCCAAATTCAATTTCTAATACTGACCATTAAATGATGACCATTAACTAATGAAACTCACGCAAAATTGCATACGCTTTGATAATAATTGAAATATTTCATTGCAATTCTAAAAATCAGATTCCATTCCATGAGACTACATATCATGATAATGTTTGTACAATAGAAGTAACAATTGAATCATATAATGAAAATATACCTCAATCAATCAAAGTTTTTACACTTTTTCTGCTCCTCATGATATATCGTTATCAACATTTTTAACTTTCATTGAACTTTAGAAATATTCAGAGAAATATTTCAAACACAACAATTGATATTCTGATAGTGAGAAAATCAACCTGAAAATTCATACTGAGAAAGAGAGAGAGAGAATATAAAATATTTATCACAAAGAAAAAAATCAAATTCATTCTTCAACACAATTCTCTAGAATTCAATGATTAGATTACAATATTTAGTAATTTCCATTCAGATATCATGGTGAGATTTCATTTCCCATGTTGACAAGCTTCCCAAACAGATGATGAACCAGATAAACGATAACACTGACTCATAAGTAATCAATATATTAATAATAACATAAAGATAATGATCATTGATAATGATTAGTTAATCTACAAAATCTTGAATTGAATTGAAAATTATCGATTCAAAACTGATCTATATGATAATAATGTGCTATCGGATAATCGTCAATATTTATCTATCAAAGCATCAATAATAAAGTTACTATGATGATGAGAAAACAAATTTTTCTGTCAATCAGTTGTATCTAAATTAATGTTGACTTGATATTTTAGATATCAACGATAAATAATTCCGTTAATGATAATGATTAGTAACATGGAAATTTTGAGGTCTCCCCCTGTTTAGAATCTCATGATATATTAATTCACCATTGATTGAATCAAGACGATGCTTCTAAATGACTAATAATAAACATCATGATAGTAATCATTAAATTGCTGCTCCTAAATAAGTACAACTTTAACAGTATAATATTTAATTGTTGATCAATATTTAAATTTATCTTTCATTTTCTACAACTTTTATTGCGTGTTGACTGTTGGTTTGAAAAAAATTTTCTCATTTCATGATTATTGTTAAATACCTGTTCAGGGGAAAAGTTCAGAGTATGAACTTCGGATAAAGAGATAGAGAGAAAGAATCAATTTTTCGTATTTTTTTTTCTAAAAAACCACCTAACTTTCATTGAAATAGTCTACTGATGATTCCGGTAGCTCTCTCACTCTATGGAGTAAAATCATTCCTCATAACTTTCTGTGGTAAAAACTAGAATGATAATACATGAGAACTATTCAGGGTATTAGTTGAGGCTTTAGAATTTTAAATTACATGGATTGGATTGCAAAAGAAAAGGTAGATTAGAGAGAGAGAGAGGAAGGAAGAAAGAAAGCAAGAGAGAGAGAGAGAGAGAAATAGATTGCAACTTTCTATTAAAAGTTTTCTTTTTTCGTTATTCCATTGAATCGAAACTTTTTTCATCATCATTATCATTAATATCTTCTTAGAAATTTGTTACCTCTCTTTTTATATTTATATTTATATATTTAATTTGAATAAACATGATGAAAAATGAACTTTCTCTCAGGAATCGGTTCTCACTTCTTGTGTACAAAATTGCTTTAGAATTTTTTTATTTCTTATCCCTTTGATACTTTGAAATAGTTACATGTTCATGAGAGTGAAGGTGGTTTATTGAGTAGGCTGTTGAAAATTACTAAGACCAAAAGTTGAATAACATGATAACTCTGATTGTTGAACTTTTTCTTCTTAAAGCCAATAAAATGATGAAAAGGATGAAGATGATTCGTTATCATGTTAATCAAAGGTAACAACATGGAAAGAACATTATTCTGACCTTTCTCTTAAATTCTTAGAAAATTCTTTCACTTCTTTTGACGATGATTATGATAAACAGATCATGGAGT